GGAAATTGGTGGTCAGGGAGGTTGAGTGGCTTGCCCACTGTCATCCAGCAACTTAATAACACATCCTAGTATTGAATCTCATTTCCTTCTTAATAAACCAATATTTCCATGGTGTCATGACTCCCATGGCATCCATTAACCTAATGTGGACCAACTTCAGGGCTTGGGAGAACCCAGAATGCTCCAGTTGAAGAGACAGAACTATAGAGCAATATATAACCCATGACCTTGCTCTGTCACCAAGGAACCCGCAGCTCATTCCATTTCAGATATACTGCTCTCTAGTGAATACTTTAGTGACAGAGTTAGATTTTTACAGTTTTTGAGTCATTCTACAGGAAAGGATCAGAAGCTGCCAAGGACATAGTGGTACCCAAGATACTCTTCAGCTGAAATTAATTTTTTTTTTTTGAGTCAGGTCCTGGAGTATCTCTGGCTGACTTCAAACTTGCTATGTAACTGAGGATTAACTGGAACTTCTGACCTTCCCAGTTCTACCTTCCAGTTCTGGAATTGCTGGCACATGCCCCCATCCTGGGTTTGTGCAATGCTGGGGACCAGCCCAGGACATGCTAGGCAAGCACTTACCAACCGAGTTACAGACTTAGCCCCAGACCTTTCAGTTTTGATGAGACCCCCGTTAACTTTTTCTTTCATTGCCTGTGTAAAGCATAATGCCTTTTGAGTGTCCAGTAAGGTATTGACCCTTTCAGAGTGTGAGTGGCGGGGGTCAGTGACCAAGGTGCCTCTTCTTTTCCCACTGTAATAACTAGACATGGATATGAGGAGTTCTGATGACTGTGGGGGAGGACATCTGACCTTCTGGTCTTAAGGAGGCTGTTTAAATCCCAACAGAAGACAGATATCCCATGCTCACATCAATGACTTGCTTATACCCCTGGACTGACCATGATGCCTGTACTCAACAATAACAAGGATGGGAAGGAAATATGGAAGTATGGATTCAGTTTTGTGATGGGGAGGCAACTCTGACATGATGGCTAATGGACAGTTTCAAGGCTCAGCTCATGCTGTGGACGTACCTGTGTGCATGTCCACACACGCTTACAGGTGTGTGTGCCGTTGTGTGAGAGTGTACACAGAGGCCAGAAACCAACAACTGGTGTCTTCCTTGGTTGTTTTCCACTGTATATTTTGAAACAGGGGTTCCCCCTGGATCTAGGGCTTGACATTTAGGTCAGACTTGCTGGCCAATGAGCTCCAGGGAGCTTCCTGCATTGTCTGATGTTCTGAACAGAGTTGGCTATTGTGAGACTTTAGTCTGTCGCAACCACTGGTTCCATTCTCCCAGGTCTCAGTGCTCTAGAGAGATGACACCACCACACTCAGATTTTCCAAGAGTGCTGGGGATCCAAATCCAGGCCCTCATGCTTGTGTGACAGGCACTTCATTGACCGAGTGATCTCCGCCCTTGATTGCAGGACCCCAGTGAGGAAGATTACTCGATGCTTTCTGCCTTGGTTTTCTCAGAGACAATGTGGAAGTTGGGTTGTTGAAGCATTTTGTGACTTAATGCACATAAAGTTCTTGAAATAGTGCTTGGCATATTGCAAGCTTCTGACAAATGTTCTCAGCGGATTAATGAATTCCAATATGCAAAGCATGTACCTGCTGCAGCCAGCATTATTCCCAGCTCACGACATTCAAATGCAAGCTCCTAAAAGAATTTTACAGAAACCAAGTACAGACCAAACAACATATTTCCATGGGCCAGACTCAGCTCTGGGACTGCCAGTTTGTGATTGAACAGAAACCACAGAACTTTGTCAAGCCTCCCAGACAGAGCTTCCTGCAGCTTTAATTGGGACCTTGGATTTCTGGTTTGGCTCCTCACACGGCTGAACTCACTCACTTATTGGGGTGGGACGGCTGTGGAATCACAATGATGAAGCACTGGGCACACTTGGATAGGAGAAGAGTGGTAACTTCACAAATTCTCTTCTTTTGCTATTGATGGTGGCTCAAGATGTATAGCACTTATGTTTCCTGAAGCAAATGTAGCTCTGATTTGTTTTGCATATCTGATGCAGCCCTTTCGTGCATTAATACATCTCATATTTGATCATTATGGGGAGAGAAAAATGAGAAGGACTTTAGAGCTTTTTTTATTCTGACTATAAAAATGAAAAATACCTATCACAAACAATTCAGGAAAAGTATGGAAGTGAAAAAAATGAAAGAAAAAATGTCTCTGAATCTGTCAGCCAGAGATAAATATGGCTCCCATTCTGATGAATAGCCTCCTGGTTATTTATTTGTCCATATACCAGCATCTATCTGAAAAAGCAAGAATGAACACCGCATCTTCTCCAGAGCCTTTTGGAGGCCTTTGAAATGCTACCATGGCCCCATGAGCATTTCATAAAATTTTTTTTTAGCATATAGTAACCATACATAAAATGAGTTTTGGGCTGGAGAGATGGCCCAGTGGTTAACAGCACTGACTGCTCTTCCAGAGAACCTGGGTTCAATTGCCAGCACCCATATGGCAGCCCACAACTGTCTGTAACTCCAGTTCCAGAGGATCCGGCACCCTCACACAGACATACATGCAGGCAAAATAACACCAATGCACATGAAAGAAATAAATCTTAAAAATTAAAACAAAAGTTTAAGGAAAAAAATGAGTTTCATTTGACCCGTGCATACACATACACAATGTATTTTAATCATATTACTGGTCCCCCTCACACTCTACTGATCTCCTTTTCTCAACTACCCTCCCTTCTATTTTCACGTCCTTGGATTTTTTTTTTTCAACACACTCTTATTTTAGAGTTTGGGGGTGTGTGCACCATGGAGCACTCGTGGAGGTCAGAGAACAACTTACTGGAGTCAGTTTTCTCTTCGACCACATGGGTTTCTAGGGCAGAACTTAAATCAGTGCTTTTACCCACTGAGCCATCTTGCTCCCTCTCCCTCTTTAATGACACGATGAATTTCTTCATGGCTGTTTACAGGAACATGACTCCTTAGCAGTAGTTACACCACTCAAGAAAAATCTCACCCCCTTCTTCATCAAACATGAACTTCTAATAAATCCTCAGGGAAGAATGGGATCCTGTCAGTCCCTTCAATGACCATCGCCCCTCCCGTCCTCTGTTCCCTCCCTCCCCCTCTCCCCTCCCTCCTTCCCTTCCTTTTTTTTTTTTTTTTTTTTTTTTCCTTTTCAAGACAGGGTTTCTCTGTAGCTCTTTGGTTGTCCTGGAATTCTCTTTGTAGACCAGGCAGGCCCTAAACTCACAAAGATCTGCCTGCTTTTGCCTCCCGAGTGCTGGGATTAAAGGTGTGCGCCACCATGCCCGGCTCAGCATTTTCTAGATTGATTTATTGAAGTGATGAAAAGACCATTTGCCCCCCTCCTCACTATTTATATGTCTCTGTATAGACTGCTGCCAGGTTTATTACCAATTTATTTTAAAAATTCCCTAACTTCTGTCTTTTTTTCTTATTTTGTCTCGTCTTTTTTTTTTAAATTAAAAGTTTCACTACTATTATTTTACTTTATGAGAATGACTACGGGTATTTTGCCTACATATATGTCTGAGCACTGCAGCCCTTGGAGGCCAGAAGTATGCAACTGGGGTTTCAGACAGTTGTGAGCAGCTATGTAGATGCTGGGGATTGAATCCAGGTCCTCTAGAAGAGCAGCCAGTGCTTTTAACCTCTGGGCCATCTCTGCAGCTTCCTTCTTATTTCCATTAGGTCTTAGTTGTTCTTTTTCTAAGTTTTTTATTAAACGTTTAGTCATATGTTGAAACAACCTAAATGGAATCCCGCTTTCTGACCCTGCTTTTGTGACCAGAAGGTGAATAAATCTCTACTGAATGAACCGCTTTCTGTTTTGTTGGCTTTCCGGTGGGAGGGGCAGAGGCGATGAAGGAGGCTGACCTTCTTATGCGGCATCTTGGGAACAGATGGCTTAGCTGGGTTACTCTTGTTTTGGAAGCTAGAGGCGAATAACAATGGCATCTGGGATGGGATCAGTTAAATTTAAGGAGCTGAGTTTTCTGAAGGATGAAGCCATGGTGGTCCCCTCTAAATGTCACCTCTGACTTGCTGTTCTCTGCAGACACTCAGCAGCTCTGCATGGATTGTGCACTAAAGGGCCTGGCATCCTTAGCACAGTTCTCTGACATATTAAAACAGGAGGTTTCTTATGATCCTGTTTTCCCTATTGATTTCTTTAGTGTAGCCAGCTTATTCAAACGTTGGTCCCACCCTCTCCAGTGTAAAATCTCCCCAGAGGCTTAGACTGTAGACCGACAATGCTGTTTCCACCAGCTTGGTCAAGTCTCTGGCATTTTTGTGTCTTAGTCTTTTTTCCCAGAATACAAGAACAGTGTAAGAAGGAAGGAGCCTAACATATGACATAGAGGTAATCTTTTAAATATTTAGTAGGGTCATTGGCGGAGTAGAAGAGGCACAAGATTATAATACTGGAGAGGAGTCCAAAAGGTCCCTTTGTGCTTTTAGCTCTTCAGGGCAGGGCACACAGAAGCCTCTGGCAGAGGACATTAAAGATCTCTAAGAGAGCTATGGGGATTGGCTGTTGCCAGTATGCATGAGCGAATTTCAGTAGTTTATCAGCTGACAGCTCTCATGGAGAAAGCTTGGAGCATAACTCATGACACACCAGATCGCTTCTGTTACCATTACGATTGTCATTATTCGTTTTCATTTTTGAGTCAGAGTTTCACGTGGTCCAGGCTGGCCTCCAGCTCCCTATGTAACTGATGATTTTTGACAGTTGATATTGATATTGTCAGCTTGACAGGTTTAAAGTCACCAAGGAAATAAATCTCTGGGCGTGCCTGGGAGGAATTTGTATTTATTTATTAGACTGGGTTCATTGAGGTGGAAGGCCCACTCTAAATGTGGGCGGCACCATCCTTGGGGCTGGGCGGGGTCTTGGATTTAATGAAAGGAGAAAATCAACTGAACACCAGTATTCATCTTTCTCGGTTTCCTGACTGCAGATGCAATGTGACCGATCGTCTCCTGCCACCCTGTCTTCCCCACCACGGTGGACTGCACCCTGAGACTGTGAGTCAAAATAAACCCCTCCTTCCTTTGGAAGCCACCAAGAGAAAACTAACCCACGTTTCGGTATTCCTGCCTCTACTTACTGAGTGATGTGATTTCAGGTGTTTGCTATCAAGTTGGAGTCCCGTGATGCTGGAGGATGAACACAGGGTTTTGTATGTGCGTGCTAAGACCACCAACCGATCAACCTCCCAGCCCTGTGATTATTTTAGAGTAGAAATATTACTGTCATAGCAGCATTAGTATGCGCGTCTCTACTCCTCATCTGAGAATGGCCTGGGTGCTGATGAGGGTGTGGCCTGGCCAAGCTCCTTTTTGTCAGAGCCATTTCCTGTGCAGTCTGTGCGGCTTCTACCATCTTGCTCCTCTGTTCCGATTTGCGGTTCCCTGGGCCTCGCGTTCCTCCCTGTCGAGGACCACAATTAACCAGCGTGCTTTGAGTCTTCTGATGAGGACCACATTAACCAGGCTGCTTTGCCACTTCTGACGTTGTATTGGGTTAGCACGCTGAGCCTGCTCTTTGGCCTCAGAACCCTAAAACACTACCTTGTTGGCTTCTCTCTGTTGTTCCAAAGTCTTCAGTGGCTCCCTATGAACCTCTGATACCCCATCCAAATTGCCAACTTCATCTTCGAGTACTCTTTTTCACCCTCCATGGTTTAGACTCAGGGACTTCTTCTCCAAGCCCATCAGGTAACTTCTTAGTTTCTTCCTCTTCTCTGTCTTTGCCAGCCCAGCTTCCCCAAGTGTCTTGAAAATACCCGACAGTTTCCAGGCTTTGCTCATTCTGGCTCCCTGTGTGGAATGCCTTCCTCCACACTGCCGACGTTTTTCCTTGCTCTAAACACCCCTGACCTTATGACTACATCCTCTGTAGATCTCCCCCCCCCCGCCCCCAGGCTTTAGCAACTTGCATTTATTCAAGAACCCTGCACTATTTTGTGATGTTCTGTGCGAGTTCCCCGATTTATCAGAGGATCTCAGAGGAGGTTTTGTCCCAGGACGAAGCTCTTGTGAGCTCTGTGGTGAAGAGCCGTGTTACTCGGAGGAGGGCTTTTCACGGCTCACAAAACGAAGAGGGAGGAGGCCAGCAAAGAGTCTGATCGAGTAATTTGTGCCAGGACAAACTTAAAGAAAACAGAAACGAGAGGAGAGAACGCATCTGCAAACTATCTGGAGGAGCAAAACAGCAGGATCTGGTCCAACAGATGACATAGGAGAGCCAGAAATAAGTTCTGAGGTTTCTGGTCCGCTGAAGATGGAAAGACTGGTGGATAACTGGGAATGTGGATGCAAGACAGTTTTGCTTTGTACTTGAGCTTCAGAAGATGGAGAGATAATTAAGAACTGAGGACTCGGAGTTCTGAGTCTTCTGGGGGACGGGCATTGAATGAAGGGAGAATAAAGACTGCATTAAGAAGCTGGGCGGTCGTGCTGCACTCCTTTAATCCCAGCACTCAGGAGGCAGAGGCAGGCAGATCTCTGTAAATTTGAGGCCAGCCTGGTCTATAGAGCAAGTTCCAGGACAGCCTCCAAAGCTTACAGAAAAATCCATCAAAAAAAAAAAAAAAAAAAAACAAAAAAAAAAACAAGCAAAAACTTCATAAAGAACAAAGTCCTGAAGGGCTACCACCAAGGAGAGAAGACCTGGGAGAGGGTAGGATGGGGCTGGATGTAGAGAACACAGTGCTGTGGAAATCATTGAGACAGCTTGAAGGCTGGATAGTGTGAATGAGTCATCGACTATCTGTGAAGAGTGAAGAGTAGCAAACAGTGGAGTCATAGCAGAGCCTGGGAGGGGATGGAGACCTGTGTAGAGAGGGGCTTTAAAAGGTTGCTGGAAACCAACCTGTGGGCCAAGTGGCAGCAAGAAACAGCCCAGAGAGAAAAGCGGTTTAGTAACAGAACCATACTAGTAGAAACTCATGGTTTAAATCAAAGAGGACTGAGTGTCAGCTCTCTGAAAAATATCTATTTGGACATACATGGACTTCCACCTCTTAGCACAGAACAGATATCATTGAGGTGGCCTGGGATGCTTGTTGGGCCCTGGCCTCGGCACCCCCTGTTTGAATCAGACATCAGCTCAGAACTGAACTCAGGTCTCCTCCAAGAGTTGCAAGTGCTCTTAACCATTGAGCCATCTCTTCGGCCCTAAATTATCTTTTTCTTTTTTCATTTTCTTTGAATTTGTTTTAAATATGAGTTAACTATTTAAATTTTTTTTTTTTTTTGAGACAGGATATCACTCTAAGATCCTGGCTGTCCTGGAACTCACCATGTTGACCAAGCCAACATCAAATTTACAGAAATTCAACTGCCTCTGCCTCCCGAGTGCTGGGATTAAAGATGTGTGCCAATAAGCCCACCCTTACTTCATTTTCATACAGCCTGGGGATAGTGCTCCCCGTAATGGAACACTTGAGTCTTCCAAACTCAACTGACCTAATCAAGACAGTCTCCCACGGCATGCCTGGAGATTGTCCTCCTAGGCCATTCTAGTTTTCATCCAGTTGACAATGGAGATTAATCCTCACAATTTGTAAGGGTTGAGGGAGATCGCCTATATTGAGAACACATGATAAAGTGCTCAATAAACCAATGTCATTTTTTTTGCCATCATGAGGACTCGCTGCTAAATTCGTGACCTCAAGAGCTCCCCGATGCTATTAGTTAGGTGTCCTTTGAGTCTGTCTGTTGCTAGGTACAATTTCTCAGGGTTAGTAAGTAAAAATGTAGATTGCCCAGGTGAGTTTGAATTTTAGATAATACATAAACATCTTTTAGTATAAGCATTCCCTAAATATTGTGTGGAAAATGCTTACTCTAAAATTTTATGTGTTATTACGTGAAATTTAAATTCATGTGGGCGTTGTGTGTGTGTGTGTGTGTATGTGTGTGTGTGTGTTTGTGTGTGTTTGTCAATCCTAGCAGCCTAGTAGCTAAGTGGCCTTACGTAAGTTTCTTCTCTGTGTCTCAGTTTCCCCATCAGCTAAGTGGGTGATGAGATGGATTTTTATAAGCACTTAAGAATGGTGGCTGGTGCATAGCAGGGGAAATATAATAACCGATACCATTCAGATGGGACTGTGCCTGGGGGTACATTCTGGAATCATAATATTGAAGACGGAAGAGAAATGTTTAAAATTACATTTTCATTACCGTGCATTTGGCATTGCATTTGGTACTGTCTCTGAAAAGGCAATATCATGCTGAAATAAAGAGACTCCATCCTCCTAAATGCTCCCTTTGGCTTTAATAATTTTTACTCTCCCATAAATTCTTATGACAGGATTGACAACCATCATGGAAAATTCAATTCTCAATCTTGTCTATTTTTGCAATTTTGCCCTCTGGAGCAGTGCCGAGCTGGAGCTAAAACAAATGAAATTGCCCAATTCCCCCCAACCCCTCCTTTTTTTTTTTTGCACAATGGCAAAAGTCTTTCTGGAGAGATTTTTTTTTGCCCCCCCCAGAAGTTTTAAACCAGCTCAAAACTTTTTATGAATCATAGGCACTGGGAACACTTTAGACAAGGAACGCTGAGTCTGAGCTTTGAATGCAGTTCGGATGGGGAAGTGGTACTTGCTCTTTAATTCGAGATTTGGAGATAGATACTGCCACTGTTGTAAGTTAGTATTCACCATCTTTGGTTGTTGGATATTTTACATCTGAGTCTGCTACTAAAGTCACTGAGTTTACAAACTCTTGATCTGAAAAGGCGGTTTAACTAAAGTGATTTCTCCTGTATTTGAAGTGTTAGCCAATTTTGTGTAGCCAACACAGACTACCACAGATGAATAACTTGTAATTAATGGAAATTTATCAGTTCATAGTTCCATAGAATGGAAAATCTAAGATCGAGGCACCAACACGTGGTGAGGGTCTTCCTGCTGAATGATCAGGATCCTTGTGGGCCAATCATCACTCAGAGGTTCCTCTTTGTCCTAGTTAGGGTGACTATTACTGTGATAAAACACTATGATCCAAGCAACTAAGGGAGGAAAGAGATGAATTGCCTTATGCTTCCATCACTGTTCATCACAGAAGGAAGTCTAGACAGGAACTCAAACAGGACAGAAACCTGGAGGCAGGAGCTGATGCAGAGGCCATGGAGGGGTGTTGTTTACTTGCTTGCTCTCCATGGCTTGCTCAGCCTGCTTTCTTATAGAACCCAGGACCACCAACTCAGGGATGGCCCCACCCACAATGGGCCCTCCCACATCTATTACTAATTAAGAGACTAACCTATAGGCTTGCCTACTACCTAATGTTATGGAAGCATTTTCTCAATTGAGGCTTCCTCTTCTCCAGTGACAGTAGCTTGTGTCAAGTTGACAAAAAACTAGCCAGTACATCTCTAATATTGTCACAGTGCTAATGAAATGTCAATATGAGTTTTAAAATAAATTTAGACCACAGCATGAAGTACCCCTCTGGCTCCTCCTTCCTCTTAAAACTCTATTGATCAAAGTTCTACCCATATTCAGATTCTAGTAAGTCCCCTAGAGGCTATCTCAGAGGATTGAGTAATCTTTATGCGAACATATATCATAGTCCGTCTTTGGGCAGCTGTCTTAGCATCCCTGCGGGGGAGGGCTAGACACCATCTGTAATTTATCTTTGGATTTTCCCATAATGCCTTAAAGTCAATAGCTTGCTCAATAAGTGTTTGTGGTATTGAGCTGACAACATCTGAGTACTTGATACTACTTTGATGTCCCCTTAAAATAATTCATGTTTTAAACAAATAACCTTTGCAATTGAATCTGGAAGCATTTCCTTCTTTGGAGTAGGTGAATTTCAAAAATGGAAAAAAATAGAGTTTAAAAAAAGCCCACCAGTATTATAGTGTTTATATTTTCAGGTTTCACAGCTAAAATGAGTTTGTTGAAGCATGAACAATTCCCAGCGGATACAGGAAACAAGCAGTTTTGTACAAATTTCAGAGCTAGTAGAGAGAGTAGCCTACCCCTCCAACCATGAGGAGAATTCTGGCTCTGACATGGACAAGGACTGGCCCAAGAAACCAAGAAAGCATCAAAAATTGGCCCCTGGCTGGTTGGTGGTCCCAGGTTTGTGCACTGTTTTTTGCCTTTCTTACCACTCAGTGTTCTGTCCTGCCCTAGGCTGTGTGCCCTAGGCTGACCTCTTCAATACTGTCTTAACTGCTGGCTATTTTCCATGTGAGTTTGGCTAGCAGAGTATGGGGGGCATGTTCTATTTTTAATCTTCCACTCTGGAAGAAGCTTGGGTTTGGTGCCTTTTCCCTGGCAGATTCAGCTCAAATGTCCTGGGCATGGTTAATGGTTTCTCAGTGTTCCGGCTTAGTCATTGGGTTCCTTGGTTTCTCATATCTGCAAGTCCTTTGATAAATTTTTCTTCTGAAGTGTCTTGTGTAAATGTCCTGTTGCCAAGACTTTAAGATCAATCCATCTAAAGCAAAGACTTAAAGCTTTTTAAGCAAAGGTTTAGCAGCTGCTCAGTAGTCGTTCCTAGGACAACCATATTCTTAACCCTGCCTTAGGAATCAGGGACAGGGCCACAGAGGAGAAGGAAACCTGTGTCACTGGAGCTGATCACTGTCAAGTGCTGTGATTGCTCTTCAGGTTCTTCCAGGAAAACTGGCTGGACAGAAATATGAGAACATGTCTTAATAATAATCTATAGAACAGAGACCAATTGTGATAGGAAGGGTAATTCTCCACCACAGAGATGTTGAGTATGGGCAGCTCAGTTAGTAGGGTGCTTGATTATTGTACATGAAGCCCTGGGTTTCACCCACAGTATCTGCATAAAACTGGACATGGTAGCATTGGCGTAGTTCCAGAGAGCTAGAAGCAGGGGAATTGGGGGTTCTAGGTTATCCTTGGCTTTGTAGCCAGTTTGAAGTCACCCTAGACTACAAGAAAGCTGGTCTCTGAATACGAGATTAAACCAAGAGAGGGAAGGAAGAAGAGTCAGAGAAGCCCGGGAGGAATAGTATGGAGTCTCAGAATTACCTTTTTTTTTTTTTTTTCCACTTGAGGGACTACTTTCCTTCTCAGCTCTTGTTGGGGGATCCCAAAACAGCAAGAACTGCTAGTGTCAGTGGTATTGATTTCTTCTGGCTTCTCTCATTGCTCTGATATCTATCCAGAAGAATGAGAAACAGCAATTGCAACTGTGGATAAAACACATAGCATTCCATCTTTGCCACATTAAGGTAACCCCTGTATCATCGCTGAGCTGGCAGATACCCAGGCACATGCTGGCACATACGGGCTACACACAGGCAGGCACAGATATACATGTAGACTGGCCCACAGGTGGAATGAAGAAAGCAAAAGATGGCAGCAAAGAGGTACCTGCCTCTGACTTCAAGGGCATATTTATACACAGCCCACCCCAAAGTAGCAGTTTATTGGGAACAGTTATATAATGGATCACACCACTGCTTTACTACGGGTTCTCTAGATACCCAATGGTAGCCATCTTTTTGACTAACTGGATATCCACATAAGTGCCACGATGTCTAATCCTTAAATTGGCACTTAGGATCTTCTGTTTCCTACAGCTTGACTGATAGAAAAGACTTATCCAATGTCCAGAACATTAGGCAATATACTACAATCCTGGCCCCAAGGATGAAGACAAGGACCATATAGTGTATCATATAATAATAATGTACTTGGTTAGACCAGATAGAGTATTTCTAGCTGATTTTAGCTATCATCATCATCATCATAATGCAGAAATAGCTGGCTTATTTTCTATACCCCCAAGTCACACATGAAGAGGAGGCAGCTGGATACTGAGATGGTTCAGTGGGTGAAAAGGAGGCAGAAGAAGTAGCATCCCTGGATTCAGATGCTCTCTAGATAGGGAGAAGGAGGCTTTGTCTCCTAAAGGACCAGTGTATAATGCAACCTACAAAACGGCTGTCACTTATGGATGGAATGTGAACTTTGGGCTCAGCCCAGACTTTTGGGACTCTGAAGGTTATATCTCAATGCCTGGTAAGTAGCAATGAGGGCTCCAAAGGATGGGGGTAAGTGGAGTCAATACAGAGTGGATCCCATAGGAACCCGTGCAGGCAAGCTTCTTTGGGAACAAGGTCATGGAGAGCAGTGTGGCTTCTTTTCCAGTGTCCTGGAGACTGGCTTATGTCTCTAGTCTGTGAGGAGGAATGCCATAGAAGGGCCTGGTGCTTCCTAGTCA